TAATCGTTATGTGTTGAACTGTATCTTTGTTAATCCATGTGATAACAGTTGTAAAAAAATCTTGTATTCCAGGATGTGACTGTATTGGGAAATGGGGTTGTTGCAGATGTAATCAGCTCTGGTGAGACCAGTATGTTTAATCTCATGTTTCATAGTCTTTTTCTCTCATTGGTTTTCCTCTGCCTTTTCAGTTGGAGTGATGCTGAGATGCATGGCAGTATTTAGGAGAACAGAGCCTAGGAATTCCACCTTCATTGTCATAGAAAACCCTCATATTTTGGAGAAAAATCTAGAAAATTCTGTTTTTGGTTACCGCCCATCCATGGGGCATTTACCAGGTAAACGTGATGAAGCTTAAATGTGGGTGGGACACCTTGTCCTGGGGGCCCCTTGATGCAGGAGTGGAGAACGAAATTCTAAGAAGAGGGAGGTCGGTTGTACAGTGTAAGGGTTTATTTTAATGCTCATACTGAAAACAGTTACAAAACTGGACTAATGTAAAGGAAAATTAATCGTAAGTATATCAGAGAGACACAAAAAATAATGAATTCCCAGGTTAACCAAAAAGGGAAAATGAAAACCTAGAGTGGGAAATATGAACAGTGGACATATTTTTGTTGAAATTACTTTAGGCTCGTGACAACTGCAGACATCCAATGGCAGGGCCTGTGCACTGGGGGTCATGGGATGTGGAGACTCTCCTGATACAGCAACGCCGACCTCAGTCTCACTGTGAGGATGTAGACGTACCAGGTGCGAGCCGACAGTGAGCGCTGGGAACCATTAGGCCACTGAGTGAGTGTATCCTTACAAAACTCTCTTTCTATGCCTTTCCCAGAAACAGCCCCTACAAATTCTGCAAAGCAGCTCCACGGTCCCCTCCTCAGGGACACACCTGCCCCGCTGCACACCTGGGTCATTCAGCTTTGTCTAGAAAGTCCTGTAATCTTATATGCACATATTTTCACCTCGCATCGACCACAGCTCCCCCTGGAGTGAGAAATTACAGTAAACAGGCACAAAAATCAGAAACATCGTATAGGTATCCCCAACATTTGAAAGTTCTCTTTAGACCTCTTTGCTTTTATGAAATATTTACATTAATAGCTGCTTTTACGGCTCAAAGCAATCTGAAGAGGATTTTCAGATTCACAAAAAAATAAGTGACAACATAGTCTCCAACATGAATTTTGCAGGAGCCTCTCCAGAGAGGGTGCACAGCCCAAGCAGCATGAGGGGCGCCTTCCAGCTGCATCCCTGGGAATCACACCCAGCAGCTCAGCCACAGGCCACCGCGGCTGTGAACCGTGTGTGTTATCACATGTGCTTTATCTCCATTTATGCTGTACATCTGACAGTAAAATGTGTCCTTGGGTATCAGAGAAGCCTAGGACTGATTTCTTTTGAGCCTGGAAACATGCAAAAAAGTGTGCATATAAATTAATGTTAATTGCTTCTTGCCTTACGCCATCTCGGCTTACTAAGGTTTCTTAGGGATGATGGAGTTTCAGACAGCAGGGGAAACATGTACTGAGACTTGATCCACGGATGGGTGTATCCACAGGGATGTGGTGAGCAGCAGAAATCAGCTGGGCTCTCAGGGCTTTGGGACACAGTGACGGCTGCGCCCGTGACCAGTAGGGGGCGCGGTGGGACTGCCCTGTGGTCTCCACATAGCAGCTCAGAGAGGAGCATTCACTCAAAGAGTAATGAACTGTGGACTGGCCCTGTGCTCTCTGATGGGGACTCAGCAGCTGTGTCCCCTCTTGCCTGGCAGAGTCCCTTGAGTAGGGACCCTAGTGTGGTCTCAGCAGGTGCTTCCTCCCAGGGCTCACACCAGGGCTGAAGCCACCCCCATCCTCCTCAGTGTGTCTGTGAGCTTAGCTCCAGCACCAGGGCTCAGGGAAGGGCTGGGCAGTCACTGGGTGGACCCCGTTTGCATGGACAGCCCCTCCTGTGGCAGAGGCTGGAGGACAAAAGGAGGCCTGGGGCAGCCCGGCCCACTGCGGGGACCAGTGTCTGTGTCACCATGGCCTGGACTCCTATCCTCCTCATGCTCCTCTCCTATTGTACAGGTAGGTCCAGGCCTCAGGGAACCTGGGCAATGCTCAAAGTCACTCTTCCTGAAGTCAGCATCTTGATAAATTTCTCCCTGTTTCTTGCCCAATTAACGTCTGTGTTTGCAGGCTCCCTGTCTCAGCCCGTGCTGACCCAGCCACCTCCCTCTCTGTTCCTCCTGGAACAACAGCCAGACTCGCCTGTAGCCCTGAGCAGTGGCTTCAATGTTGGCAGCTACCAAACATACTGGATCCAGCAGCAGCCAGGGAGGCCACCCCGGGATCTGCTGTACTACTCCTCAGACTCAGATAAGCGCCCGGGCTCTGGGGTCCCCGGCTGGTTCTCGGGCTGCAAATATGCCTCGGCCAATGCAGGGCTTCTGCGCATCTCGGGGCTGCAGGCCGAGGCCGAGGTGGACTCTCACTGGGCTACAGCGTCTCAGAGAAGGAGGAAGTGGGTCTAAAACCTCTGGACCCACGGATCTTGTTTCTGAGCCGCTTTTCAGTAAGAAACTTACCTGGAGAGACATGGCGGGGTGGTCTCTTCTGCACGACGATCTATCCTTCAACAGGGAAAGAGGAAGAGTCATGTAATGCACAGAAAGTGACATAAATTGGGGGCATCGGGGGAAGACAGAGACACAGATGAGGTATCCGAACCCCACCGCACATCCCCACTCAATCTGGGGATGGACAGGAATGAATTCTGCGTCTACAACTGAACATACTGCCCAGCGAACGTTCCTCCACAATCCGTTCTATCATCTTATTGAATCAAGTGCGACCTTGTGTCACTACTGATGTATCCGCAGCTGATCCATTGACAATAACCCTGGTCACAGACACAGTCTCCTCTCTTTGAACCAGTTACACGTGAACTTGGACCAGATCCTACAGACTCGCCCTGACAACACCCCCCACACCCTCCTCCTGTTCTCTCTGCTCCCGCGTCCCTCGGGCTTC